GACACATACAGTTATCGATTACTCTTTGTACCCATCACCCCACCACCGTTCTTTACACATACCGATCTCACAATTGGCCGGTGCCATGGCTATTTAGATTGATTAGTGGATAGAGCGACTGCTCGTGTACGATCTCAGTTAAGGCTTACCACCACCACCACCACCCACGCAAACACACACACACGCACATTTTCTCCTTCCAGTTCTCCACCCCCTCCGGATTCCGCTGGGTCAGAAGAACCAATCCGTTGAAATCTTGACGAATATGTGATTCTCAATATCACATCGGAGTCAATCTATGGGATCGGAGTACTCGTGACAGATTCGCCAGGTAGATAATGGGTGGACTAAATTAAACAGGTGGATTAATACATTACAACCAATGTAGTGCCATCATTCCAAAGGGTGGTTCTCGGTCGACAATAGTTATTTATTGTAGATAACAGTCAGGATTTCACTAATTTAGCATATATGTAAACAGAAATTTCATTTGAAACATATCATCACAGTTCCCGACAGCATAATGGGCATGGAAAGGAGACACAGCAATTTGCCCTCGGTAGTCTTGTTATTTCTTGATCTTTGAAGGAAGCCACCAACTGCACTATTTTGTGTGCTACTCACAAATATGAGTAGTACCTCACAGCAGCAGTTGCTTGATTTGCGTAAATTTTTCCGCAGTCAAAAGAGAAAACATTCCGGACTGAAACAACTAACTGACAACTTTCTACCGATCAGGGAAGAGTGTCGATGTTTAGGCCAGGCCAGGCCAGGCCCTCTCATTACCGGTCTGTGTGCATTGAATAGAAAAATGAGATTTCTGGATGAAGCCAAACAGTACTGGCTTTTCTATTTTCTGTCGTGAACAATTTAAATCCACATTTTATGACTGCAATGGTTTACATAAATACTCGCTTAATACGGTTAGTAAAATACACTGGACACTGGATCACTGCGTTTTCAACACACAAATTGCCCGGACAAAACGAGGTTCTGTCAAAAGGGAAAATATTTATTTCCAACGCCAAATGACTCACTGCAGAGACCAAGGTTTATTGTCCTCACTAAGTCTCGTTGAACAAGCCTTTTTGAGACAGAACGAGGTTTTCGACGAAATAGGGCACGAGAACAGCTCGTCTGAGGTGTGTGTGTGTGTATGTGAACATCTCAGCCAGATCTGCTTGACGGGACTTAATAGGAAATGGGGTAAACCAATTTGTTCTCGACCTGGCGAACTCAGCTGATGGTAATCTGTGAGATGGACCGATAGGGACAATAACCGTACAATAACCGTTTTATGACCATTTCGTCCAGGCATGGGTTCGAAACCGCGCTTGATCCATGTTTTCTAACCGGAACCGGAACGGCATTACTATCAAAAGGATATCTAGGCTTAATGTACTATACAGCTATTTTTTTATGACACACGGAAGTAAATCTGAGCACTTTCAGCCGAAAAGTATTCGCTTTGAGAGGAATAAACATTTTAACAGGTAATGGGAGTTCATCCA